CCCAAGGGCCCTAGCCCCACTGCTGCCTGGGCACTTCAGGGAGAGATATCCCAGCTTTGCTTCCCACCAAGTGTCCTGGCTCCACACTGCCCATTCCTAATGAGGGGCCACCTCCCTTTCCTTCCAACACGAGCTGCCTCTCCTGACCTCAGACGGCCTTAATGCCCGATTGCTGTGTCCTGCTGGAGGAACGAGGGCTGTAGGTGAGTGACCAGGTGACGAATGTGTCGGTGGTTTCCAGGGCCACTGTGGGAGTGCGTGTGTGTATTTCAGGGTGGAGTGGACTTACGTGGGCTCGGCCTGGTTCTGCTCTCTCTTCTCTAAGTATCCAAGAGAGCCGTTAGTTGCAGGGGCTGATGGAGAGCCCCACTCTGCTCCCCTGCTGCATCATGAGAGGAACCCTGTAGCTGCTATGTGCCAAGGGCTCCTGGTGAAAGGCCTCCCATTTATCTCATTGATTCCAGTGTGACCTGCCCCAGCCCAGAATGACCTGCCTTGCTTAGGGCTGCACTTGCTCCCCTGAGAAATATCTCAGAGCCTCGCTGTGCCTCCCCCATCCCACCTCCCGGCTCCTCTCCTGTACCCTGCTTCTTCTCCTTCTGTTCACAGCAGGAGCCTCTGGAAGGAGGGCTTGGCAAGGACAGGTAATGAATGGGAGTTAGGAGCCACTGACACCCTCTGGTCTTCCCGCCCTTGCTGCACATCCGGCCACACTCCCTACCCTCTGGCATCTCCTCATGGACACTTGGGTCATGAGGGGCAGCTGGGGAACCCGGACTCCAGGAGGGGTAGGGAGGAGGGTGGGAGCAGGAGGAACTGGCCTGGGGCATGCCCATGGCTGTGGCATGTTCAGGCTTAGCAGGCAGATTCTTGAAGCACCCTGTGCCTGGGGCAGGAGCGGGGGCTCCCTCCAGCAGAAGGGTGGTGCCTCGAGGGGATTTTTGATGTTGTCTGATGGGGTCAGAGGGCGTAAGATCCTGGGCTGAGGACAGCTCGATGCTGACGGTGTGCCTCCATGTGGGGTCCTGACGGTGTCACCCACACAGGTTGGGCAGAGGCCAGTCCAGGCATGGCTTGCTTGATGCTGACAATTTGCTGCTAAAATGAGACTTCCCGTCTGACAGCACAAACTGGGAGCCTGCTCCCATTACTTTAAATGGGAAAAATGATAATGCATTGCTTGTTGCCCCAAACCCTCCATGCAAGTCCCCAAAATGTATCTAAGACACGATAAAGTGCTCATTTATAATTAAGATCCCTGAACAAGTCCCCCAAACGTAACTGAAATGCGAGATCGTGCCTCCTGGTGAGGGAGAATCTGTGGGGCTGTGATGTCCCATGTTTGGCACGTGGTCACCAGCACATGACTTCAGCACAGCTGTGCAAGGGCCACAAGGGGTGACTGCTCTGCCCTTGGAGCAGCCCTGTGCAGGGCAATCAGCACTACGGCTGCGTAGTGTCACTGTGTGAAGGCTGACTCCACACCAAGGGGCCCAGGATGGCCATTTTGTTGTGCTCACAGCTTCTGTGAGTCTGGGCTGGGGAGGGCACAGGGGCCGGCTGGACTTTGCTCCACAGTGTTGGGGCCTCAGCTGGGAGAGCCCAAGTCTGGTAGCGGGAGGCCACGTCATCCCCCAGCACCCTCTCGGGGGCTCTGTGTGTGGCAGCTCATCACAGCAGGACTTCTGACATGGCCAGGGCTCCAGGAGTGAGGGCTGCAGAGAACAGGTGGAGCTGCCTCGCCTTAGGATGTGTCTCAAAGTCACATCACATCACCTCTGTCCATTGGTCGGTAGGTCCAGGGAGGAGGGCCCTCTCAGTGGAGCAGTGTCAAGGCCGCGTTGGAGAACAGCTTGCGGGGGAGAGAAGTCATGTCTTTGTAAACATCACATGTGATTCACATATTCTACTAATTGTACTTGGAAAGTGGCTTTAGACTTTTTTGGCCCATAATTTTGTTAAAACTTGTGTACTGAATTTTTGGGATGTAAAAATAAAATGTTCCCTGTAATTCCGTGAGGCCTGCTAGGAGAACTATGATATGAAAGATGGATGGTAAGAAGCGTTGCTGAGGATGTAGGACAATCAGGGCCCTTGGACACTGCTGCTGGGAATGAGAGTGGTGCAGCCACTTTGGAAAAGAGTTTGGCGGTTCCCCAAGAAGTTAAGCCCATCCAGCAAGTCCACTCCTACGTATGCATCTAAGAGAATGGAAAATGGGCATTCACACAAAACCTTGTACGTGAACGTTCGTAGCAGCATTGTTCATAGTAACCAAGAGGTGGGGACAGCTCCGACTGGTGAATGGATCAACAGCATGTGAAATAGCCATAGGAGGAAATACCCAGCCAAAAAATGGAACAAAGTACCGACTTATGCACCAGCATGAATAACTCTTGATGCTAAGATAAGTAAGCCTGATGCAAAAGGCTTACTTATTGTGGAATTCCTCTGATATGCAAATCCATAGATACAGACAGTGGATTGCTGGTCACCAGGGCTGGAGACGGAGTGACTGCTAATGAGGATGGGATTTCTTTGATGAAAATGTTCTAGAATTAGATAGTTGTACAACCTTGTAAATATACTAAGACCCACTGAATTTTATACTTTGAAAGGGTGAATTCCACAGTATGTGAATTATGTCTTAATAAAAATTGTTTCAGAAAAAAAGTACAGACATAAATTACTCAATGACAGATATGTTCTGAGAAATGTGCCCTTAGGTGATTTTGTTATTGTATGAACATTGAAGTTACTTACACAAACCTGGATGGCAGAGCCTACTGCACACCTAGGCTGTATGGTACGACCTATTGCTCCCATGCTGCAAATCTGTACAGCATGTCCCTGTACTGATTCTTGTGGGTAACTGTAACAAAATGGTCAGTATTTGTGTATCTAGGCATATCTGAACATAGAAAAGGTACAGTAGAAATACCATATTATAATCTATGGGACCACCATCCTATGTGTGGTCTGTTGTTGACCAAAAGGTCGTCATGCAGTGCATGATTGCATTTAAAATAATCAGCTGAGAGATATGTACTTTCTGTGAACTCTGAGTATTAAATGTCAAGCACCTTTCTTCAGGAGAGGTTCTTCAGGGCATGGTGGTAAGAAAGGGTTGTAGACACCCCCACTGTTTCCTCACGCAGGGCCACTGGAGGCGGATAAGTTGGAAACGTAGCTGACACTGGAGGCCCAAGCAGGCATCTACCTCAAATCCAATGTGAATCTCAGGACAGGTTTTCTCAGCTTGGTGGGTGGGCGGAATGAAGACGCGATGACCGAGAAGCAAAAGTGGAACCTTAGAGTCATGACAGGATGGTGAGTTTGAAGGCATGGGAGCCCTGCCCACTAGTCACATGGACCTCATGAATACCTGACCCTGGCCAACCGCATCAGCACTTCCTCCTCTGTGTGTGTTGGGGGGCAGGGTGTGTGGGCACGGCGGGGAACAGGGGTTTAGCAGCAGTGAGACTCAGGCATTTTCAGGCCGGGAGGAACCAAGCCGCTCTGAGACTCAGTCTGGCCACAGCCACCATCCCCTGGGAGGAGAGGGTTGGCAAGACCTGGTGGACCATTAGGGAGTGGCCTGAAGTTTAGGGCAGAGGTTCTGCCCAAAGGGGAATGGGATTCTGCTGGGGGACCAGGATGCAGCCACAGTGGGGGAGCAGGGGCAGGTAGGAGGGAGCAGGGATGCTCCAAGTTTAGGGGCATGTTCTGCTGGAGTTTGTCACTTTTTGGTCACCAGCAAGCAAGGCTCCTGGTATCTCTGCTTCGGGGTGCCCTGTCCTGTGACTCACTGTAACCAATGAAGCAAGAGGGAGTGACAGGGAAGTGTGCCAGTTCCAGGCCTAAGCTCGAGGAGGCCTAAGCTTCTGCTTTTGCACTGGGGGAGCCTGAGCTGCCACATAGTGTGCTGAACCCGAAGACTTGTGGAGAAAGTGAGGTGCAGCTGCCCCAGCCTCCCAGCTGAGCTTGGCCCCACTGACCCTTCGGCTCCATGCAGCATGTGCCTGGCTGCTGGCCAGGCCAGCAGGAGATGTCCCCAGCAGAGCCCAGCCCTGCTTGCAGAATCCTGGCAAATAAAGTGACCGTTAATTTAAGTGGCTGAGTTTTGGGGTAGCTGAAACTCCCACTCGAAGTCTATCCTCTGGCTCCTGCCTGGTGGGCAGAGGTAGCTGATCCACCTCCTGCTCTGGACAGACCTGGCTCTGGCACTGGGAGGACTTGATGCCTCAGAGAGAGACTCCATGAGTGACACTGGCATGGGCAGGCTGGCAAATAGGGTACCAGCAGAAGCGGCCTGAGTTGGTATCTCTGTGCCCGAGGGGTCTGGGGCAGGTACTCCCAGGCAGTGCTAATCTGCCCATGGCCCAAGGGACATCTTGGACCTCAGCTGACTGGTTTTTGCCCACTGTGGCTCAATCTACAGCATTGTCCAAAGCATCCTTCACAGGCTGCCAGACATAAAGCACGTCTGGGTTATCTTGTTCCTCACCGAGTGGGCATCAAGCTCAGCGTCTGACACACGTGGACTCAAACCAGCTACGTGGAGGAGTGCGTGAGAGGGGAGCCTTCCCCCGGGGCTTCCATGGTGGATCCCTTATAGCCCTCACCAGATCCTGAGCCATTCTCTGTAGCCAGACTGAAGGGGGATGGATCTGGAAGGGGTGCTGTGCACACAGGAAGTGCCCGGCAATGCTTGTGGCATGAAGAAGCGTGGAAGGTGGAGAGCCTCAACCTCTTCTAGATGCTTTTTCTGCAGGCAGGTGTGGTGTGTGCATGCACAGGACAGAGCTGATAAAGACTGACCTTCGTCTCCTCCTGGGAGGCACAGAGAGTCCGAGGTCTGTTATGTGTCAATAATTCTGCGTTATTTAAAATTTAGCTATTGTGACCAAAACACATTTATTTATTTATTTATTTTATTATACTTTAAGTTCTAGGGTAGATGTGCACAACATGCCGGTTTGTTACATATGTATACATGTGCCATGTTGGTGTGCTGCATCCATTAACTCGTCATTTACATTAGGTATATCTCCTAATGCTATTCCTCACTTTAGCTTCTGCATTTTGATACATCTCTTTCATTTCCTTTATTTGCTGCTGGGCTTGGCTTAGGTCGTTTTGTAGAGTTTCTAAAGCCAATGACTTTGTTCTGAGAGTATCTCTTGTCTTACGGAACTTATGTTTTAAGGTATTGAATTTAACTCGCGTTTTAGAAAGTTGTTCAGTGAGAAATTCATTCTTATCTTCAACTTCGGAGATATTAGAACTCATTTTTTTCTTGCACAGAAATGTCTTGTGTGTTCTGTAAGGCAAGTTTTAGGTTTCTTTTTGCTTTCACAATTTCACTATGCTTACTTTTAACAGCAGCCAGTCTAGACTGATAAGATTCCATTTCAGCTTCCAGTCTTGCCTGGCTTTTTTTTATCTTCAGCAGTTTGGAATTGAGCCTTTCATTCTCAGTTTCGAGATCATTCAGCTGTTGTTGAACCTGGAATGCTGTATTTGCTATTTCGTCACAGAGTTTTATACTCTTTTCAAGGGCAGCATTTCTTTCTTTAATAATTTTAATCTCCTTAAGATATTCATTTTCTTTTTCCAAGTCGTCATTTTTCATTGTGAGTATTTTCTGCCTGAGTATAGCAATATCTCTCCTCAAAATGCATTTTTCATCCATCAGATCTTCCGTTTCTTCATGAGTATGAAAATCCTAAATAAAATAAAAGACAGTTTTAGCTAGTACTCCATAAAATAACATATCATGATTACCTCTGAAGCTAAAGAATAACCGGCACAACCATACACTAAAAAGTTTACTGTCAGTGGATATCCAACAGGAGAAAAAGTTGAAGCAAAACTTTGAACCTTGTAGAGCGTAAATTCCAAAAAGTTCAGAAATTTATTTAAAGTCAATGAATTTATAAAAGTAAACACACACACACGCACACATGCACACCACACAATTTGTAAGAATATCAGAATTGGAAAAGGCTTTGCCTGAATTACAACAAACCCAAAAGCATAAATTAAAGCATTAACAAATTTGACTAAATTAAAATATATCAAAAAATGCATTTACACTTTGATATCTAACCCTTACACCACCCTATAGTAAGAACCTTAGTTCACACGTATTTGGACAGATAAAATTTCCCAAAGTTATTACAGTTCTGTTTCCCAGATAATATTCTATTGCAATTTGACTCTTTTAACACTTCTATAGTCAGTTCTAAGAATTACATTTACATTTAGATTATCATAAATCTAGACATTATACTAGTCACTCCTATATACATTCATTGATGAACTCCTCTAGTTACTATAATTTTGAAAAAGAAAGGTTAAAAATATAAGCAAGCTACAGGATTTTCCCCAGGACTTCTGAGTCTATTTCTAGTTCTCCAACAGATCACAGTTACTTCTGTGGTATAATTATATCAATACAAAATAAAACTTTTATTTTAAAACACCAACGGTAAATAAGATAAAATTTATAGAGCTCTTCTTAGAATATCATGAGATTATTTGTGATTGCAATAATTTCTGTTTCTTCTTTATTTTATTTTAGGTACAGTAATCAATATGAAATAGGGAAGTACAAGGAACAATTTTACTGGGAACAACATTTTTATCAATAGGTTATCACTAAGTATACATTATGGCATGTTATTGTTTGCAAAAGCACTTGGTAATAAAATAATATCCTATGTGGATGCCAAGACTTATAATAAATATTAATAATTGTACCTGTAAGTGTCATCATTCATTTTTAAAAGTGAGATAACACTTCTGATTTGTTTTAGACCTATTATAGTATATATTAAATCAAGTGATATTAAATCAAGTAAAATTGATAAATAATGTTTAAAATATAGAATTTTTACCAAAGATTGATTTACCTCATTTGGAGTATTTCTTGCAGTTTTTGGTTTCATCTCTAGTGACTGAACAGTCGGTTCAGGTTGTTTTGCTTCAACTTCTTTCTTTTGTTGTTTCTCTTTCCTTTCTAATTCTTCTCTATTTTTTTTGGACAGCATATTAACATTTATTTTTTCTTCATTTTCCTGTTTTAAGGTGCATCTGCAGATAAAGACATTTCTCTTAAAATGCATTTTGTTAAAAAATAAAGAGCTCATCTTGTTATCTACCTCTGCAGACGTTGTTTATCATCCTAATAAAACTTCCATGTTCTGGATTATTTTTCCTTTGCAGCTCTCAGATATTTAATTTCTCACTTCAACATCTTCAAAAGAATGCATATACTTGAAAAGTAGTAAGGAAAGGATATTCCGCTAAAGTTTCTGTTACTAGTCACTCTAGTATATATTATAAAAAAGGATACTGGAGATTATTCAGTAAAGTTACAAGTTCAAAGTTACCTTTTTAAATCACACGATCATAATTACTCCCTTATTAGAAAAGATTGTTTACGATCAACTACATTTTTAAAGTTACTATTTATTGACAAGTGTATAAGTTCACTAGAAATAAATTTTCATCTTTATGAAATATTGCAGGTACCTCTCCAAATGACTGACAGAGTAAGATGGCACCTTCAGCTGTCCCTCATACAAACTATATCTGCAGATGACTGTCAGCCAAAACTAGGCTAAAGAGTCTAACATCTGTTACCCCATATTTTTTATATTACTTTCTAAATACTTTCAATTCACCTTGTTATTACATAGATTTTATATATTTATTAACCTATTGTTCATTATGTGTAATATATAATTAATGTCCTTAATAAGTGTGTGTATGTTTACACAAGTTATGTTTTCCTGTGAAATCTAGTCCTAGAAATGGAGTTGTTGAGTTAAAGGGATGTCAGGTTATTTGAATTTTTGATACAAAGCACTAAGTTGCCCTTCGGAAATAATTTACCAATTTCATATACCAACGGTGTACGAGAATGCGTTTTTCCTTACATACGCCAACACTGGTAATTACTTTTTAAATATCAGCATGACTTTTAAAAATATATCTTATTTTATGTTAATTTGCATTTTTCTGATTACCAGGGAGGACTAAATATCCCTGGTAAAAATATAAAACTTGTTAATCATAAGGAATATTAGTCCAAGTTTGCATTAGTTTATAGCACAATGACAATTACCTCCTGTTAAATACTGCTATAGGCAGCCAGGCACGGTGGCTCACTCCTGTAAACCCAGCATTTTGGGAGGCCGAGGTGGGCAGAATATCTGAGGTCAGGAGTTCAAGACCAGCCTGACTAACAGGGTGAAACCCCAGTTCTACTAAAAATATAAAAAATTAGCCAGGCATGGAGGCACATGCCTGTAATCCCAGCTACTAGGGAGGCTGAGGCAGCAGAGTTGCTTGAACTTGGGAGGCAGAGGTTGCAGTGAGCCGAGATCACACCATTGTATTCCAGCTTGGGAAAGAAGAGAGAAACTCCATCAAAAAAAGAAAAAGAGAAAGAAAAAAAAATCCGTGTCCTAGGCTTACCTATCACGCTCTTCCTTCAGCTTCTTGGGAAACTGCTGAGGATGCATTTCCCCAGTCTTTCTTTGTTGGGGTAATCTGTCAGCAGCAGCTGTGCGATCACATAGATTTTCTGATACTGGTATTTTTTCACTTTTGTTTGTATTATTTCCTTCTTTGACCTTTAATAAAAGTAATATGAATAATAATTGTTATTATTTTATTCAATAAAAATAACTTTTTTCCTGATTTTTTCACTTGATTCAGGTTAAATGTCACCATTTTTATCATAAAAGTATTTTGTGTTTACTTTAATCTTATCATTGTACATAATGATTATAACTATAAGGTACTCATCATTTTATCATTGAAATTTTTGCCAAGTCTGCTTATTTCTGTTTGAGTGAACAGAAAAATTTTACAAAATTTCAAAAAGGCTCTTCTCCATTTTGTGCTTTTATTCCCATCCACTCTTTGCTGCCTGATATAAATTTTTATACTATCTGACTGGCAGAAACAGAGAAATAAAAAGTCACAGGCGTAACATATGTCTTCTGTCTTTACCACCTGGATTTTACATGAAATAGCCAGATGAAGAGGATGTGACCTTGTGGGGCTTCAGGAACAGTAAAGAAGTTTCCCTTTTCTGCACTAAGCTATTCTTTTCCCCACTGCCTTTTATCTCTCTCTCTTTTTTTTTTTTCCATTTGAATCCTGGGATATCAAAAAAGTAAACGTGCTCCCTGAAGGATGGGAACCAAAGTTTGCCACAACACAAGAAGCAGAGTGAAACTGCTGAGTTTCTAGTGCAGAATTCTGGAAAATGCGATGCTTCCCAGATTTCACATTCGATTACCACAGAAGTTGATAGGTGGAAAGCATATGGTCCAGTTACCAACTTTAGCCCCATTATCTACTGATAATGGGAGTCAAACCAACCAAGACATATTAAATGTTTCATCCACATCTCCTAAGGTGGCATTCACTAGCATTTCATGGCACCAAATAACATGATACAATTCCATATTGCTGAACTACATAAAAAATCAATTTATCAAATTAGTCAGATATATTAAAAGTCTAACTTGAACAAAGCAATTTAATGCCTCAGAGGGTGCAAAAAGCCTCATGGGCTTTTACTTTGAAAGAATAAAATCTCTATCTTTAGAACACAATGTACAGAACTCAACTTCCTACTTAAGAGTCAAAGGTTAAATTTTTGGCTGATAAATTATGCTTCTTATATGATCAAAATCATACATGCCAAAACTTACTATACTTTATTAAACAACATAAGGTCTGATTCAGCAGAAAAATTGGAAAGTGGTGATTTTTAAAAATATGTGGAAGTATATATCTGTTTTCAAAAGTATTTGAAATAACCATGATGGGACTATAAGTTCAAACAGTTTGAGCTAAGCAGATAAACTTGCATGCATGAAAACACATTAAACAGACTCATTTGGCTGGGAATATTCATTGCAACTCTCAAGGTGAGATGTGTTTTTGTGGCTCATCTCAGTCATTGCTTCCCTCCCATTGTATTCCCATTCTATTAATAAATAAACGTAGTTCATCTCTAAATGAATACAGAAAAAAGAATCTAGAATCTAGAGCTTATTTCTTTACCAATTTCTTTATGTTTATCTGGTTCAGAAGGTCTCTTGGTATATGGATGAATTAGTTTCCCAGCCCATATGCCACTTGGAAGACTGAGAGTGAGACTTAGGCTGATTAATGAACAAACATTATGAGAACATTCTCCAGAACCATTATTTAGATAGCAGAACTAATCTACTTTGACACATAATTACATATTTAGATAACCCCACTGTAACTGTACGCATGAGATTTTCTTGAATAGAAAATTTGACTAAATCAAATAATTGATAAAGAGAAAAAAGAGAAGCAGCAAGTGAACCTCTGTCTTTTTGAAGTTGGACTTTCTCTTTCTCCAAAGCCAGGAACTCTACTTGTAACATGCCTATCTCATTCTTAAACCTTGGAATATCTTGCTGTAAGTCTCCTAGCTATATTTTTGGTGTTTTTTTTCACTATGTGGCAGAGAATAACTCACATTTTATAATTCAAGATTCCTGCTTTTGTAGTTGTTAGCACTGGGATTGTCATATGGTGGCTTCTGGAACAAGCACTGTATTGGTTTTCTGTTTTTAGAAGTATCTGTAGCAGCAGAAATACTGTAGCTTTCTATCTGAATCATAAGCTTCATTTCTTTGGGGTGGGTAAACCACAAATCAAAAAGACTCTCAGGATCTCTAGATTGAGGCCAATACCTAATGTCTAATTTCCAAATAGTGGTATTCGGGTTTATATTTTTTGCTATTTGCATGTCAAACTCTTAATCATCTTTCATTTCAATCATAATTACTAGGTTCCTTAATTTTTTGGTTTCTGTATCATTAAATATTTTTTCTTGATCTTTTTTAGAAGCAAGCTATGTGTCTGGTTTGTTATCATTTTTATAGTCTGATTTATTTTCATTTAAATGAAACTTAGAAGATGACTGGCAAGTATATTTCAGGGACCTGGAGTGGGAATGGAATGAAAGACATTTTTCATGGGCTTCCTCTGTTCAGGCGCCGCCTGGAATGTCACAGAGTTAGACCCTCCAGATGTATCTTCCTCCTCACAATCATGGACATGACTCATCAGATCAGAGGGCACTCCTTTTTTGTTCATCCCTCTTTAGAGTTACTATGTAGAAGCTCTGCCTCAGGGCAAGCAATACTTTTGGAGTTTTCAAAACTTTCACCAATATTCAGCTTGAACTTGTTTGTAATGAATATTAAAGAAAGTCCTGAATATACAGATAGATTCCCGTTATCACAATTCTCACCCAGTTCTGGTTCTTGAGACCTTTTTTTTGGCAAGTGCAAAATGGAAAACAAATTTGCTTGTTTTGTTTCTCAGTTACTGTCTTTTCTGTTGGAGTGCATGTTTTAAAATTGGCTTTAATCAAGTACAAACAAAGAAATGTTCGAAAATAATTAAAATTTAACTGATACTTAATCTATGTGTCACTACTTTTATATGATGGGATTGTAACTAAAATATGAAAAATAATGTGCCTTGGCTTAACATAGGAGAGAAACATGAACTGGCAAGCTGAACTCTCTGTGTTTGTTTGGACTCAACTTAATTCATTATGTGTTAAATCTACCAGAAATGAATTCAAAGATATGTAGTATTATAAAAGATTCCTCTCTTACAAAGATTTTACCTCAGCATACCAGAAAGAGTGAGCCCCTACAGTGCATGTATATTTCTGAAGATTAACTAGAGACTAGGCAAACACTCAATTATTAAGAGCCAAACTGAACACCACTAACAAAGAGAAGCAAAATTTTAAATTCCAATTCAAATGATATACTATGATAGTGTTATGTATCTAGATAGATTTTCTGCTTATATCAACTTCTAATATATCTTAAGTTCCACTAGTGATAGTGGATGGATTTTTTAAATTGTAGGAATATTTTCTATGTATTTATGTTGAAATAAAGTTATTGTTTGTACCCTGACACCAAAGGTCCCATTCTGCAAGGTAGGATTCTCTTAATAGGCAACTGGGTTGACTTTTATGACCCCATTCACTTCCTGAACACAGACACTGAAGTCAACTGGCGACCACAAAACAGAATAAATCTTTAAACTGGACACTGGTGACCAGCAATATAAAACTGCAACATTTGAACCACTGGCAATGATGACTCCTTTAGCGCTAGTTTAGCTCAGTGGCCATCATGGATAAATTGTTCATAATTTCGATTTCTTAGTCATGAGACTCAATATTTAATGTTACCTTCTGTATTAAGAGTAAGGTTATAAAAATAAAAGAGCAAGAGAATTCTGAAGATTTCTTGCCTCAATTCCAAGAGTAAAGACAGCTATGAGTTACTAGAGATAGTAAGAATATCTTAAGTTTTGTAACAGGTTAAAATGTTTTAAAAATTGAATATAAAATTATGATCCATTGGATTCTAAAGGTATAGCCTAAAAGGTCATGTCATTTGGTCTATGCTTTGTTACTAAAGCAAAAAAAAAAAAAAAAAAAAAAAAAGAAAACAATGTTAAACAAGAAACTTAAATTTTTATATACCTGTGGTTGCTTCTTTTCGCTTCTTTCACGCCTTTCTTGCTCTTCCTCTGAAGCCACTAGTAAGGCTTGTTCTGTTGACAAATTCATTGGTTTAGTTCAAATGAACTAAGACCAGTTAGATAAAGACTATAATCTTTATAAAAATAGAGAATAAAATTTCTTTGTATTATATATTTTGAGAGTTTATATGAAGCTTAATGTTGACTGAAATATTTACTTCTTTAAGAAATACTTCTCATTATCCAAAACTTCAACAAACCCCTTGGGGAGACACTAGGTATCACCAGGTTCAAGCCATACAAAATCTCAGGGTCACTTACAAATTGTTCCACCCAATATAAATAAACAAAGCTGTTGCAAACAAAACAAATTTTGAAATACAGTCAAAATATACAATGTAACACTTTACTATAATTCATAACAGTATCTTTTTAACAACACACTGAGTTGGCAGTTATTAATAATTTGCAAAATTATCATTGTTTACACCTTAATTAGTGTGCACCCCATTTTTTACATCACAAATGTTTTCCCCTGCTATTCTGAAAAATTTATTTTCATCTTTTAAGACTCAGAATGTAGGCTGGCCATAATAGCTCACATCTGTAATCCCAGCACTTTGGAAGGCCACAATGGGAGAACTGCTCAAGGCCAAGAGTTTTAAGGCCAGCCTGGGAACCATAGATAACCTTGACTCTACAAAAAATTAGACAGGTATGTTGATATGTGCCTGCAGTCCCAGCTACTCAAGAAGTTCAGGTGAGAAGATCCCTTGAGCCCGGGAGTTTGAGGTTGCAGTGAGTCTCGATCACGTCATTGCACTCCACCCTGGGGCATAGAGTAAGAACTTGTCTCCAACAACAGAAAAAGAAAAAGAAAAAAGGCTCAGAATCCTGTGTGAAGTCTTCCTTCATTCTAGCTGTCTTTCTCCACACACATGTGTCTGCTTCATGGGCCTCCCTTAGTACTTTGGCAATTTTTCCACTGTCACTTTACCACCTAAACTGCACATTATGTCTTTACATATTGATCCCCTTTGCTGCTAGGTTGTAGAGGACAATCTTTTGAATCATCTTTGTATAAACAGTCTTAACTTTGCTAAATAATTATTGAGTTCCTGCTATGTGTTAAGCACTGGGGTATAAGGAAGGAAAATAAAAGCTGTCAGCGATGGCTTTCCTAAAGATCATGCATGAGCTGCGACTTAGAGAGTGAGGTTAGCCAGATTAAGTGAGGCAGAGGGCGGGAAAGGGTGAGCACATGCCAGGAAGCAACGAGAAAGGGAGAGAAGCCTCCAAGAGTGTATGTATTTCTCTGCAAAAGAGGAATGGTGAGGGGGCCATTGCCAGCAGCTCAGTAATTCCAGAGAAAAAAGCAGATGGGGAACGGGCTATGGATGAAGATTTGGGCAGAAATCAGTTTTCTTTTCTTTTCTTTTTTTGAGACAAGGTCTTACTCTGTCTCCCAGACTGGAGTGCAGTGGAATGATCCTGGCTCACTGCAACCCGGCTTCCCAGGTTCAAGCAGTTCTCCTGCCTTAGGCTCCCAAGTAGCTGAGATTGCAGGTGCATGCCACTACCGCCTGCTAATTTTTGTATTTTTATTAGAGATGGGGTTTTACCTGTTTGACCAGGATCATCTTGAACTCCTGACCTCAAATGATCTACCTGCTTCAGCCTCCCAAAGTGCTGGGATTACAGACATGAGCCACCATGCCCAACCCAGAAGTCAGTTTCTGAAATCCTTATATATCTTTAAGATGCTTGGACATTAGGTTTTCAGGAGTGGTTCATGGATCTATTTGCATTAGAGATAATTAACTCTAAATACTGTGAGGAGCATAAAATTCTGAGACACATAAACAAATGAACAAAAATAAAACATAAGGCAATGTTGCAAAGATGATGCAGGCCTGAGATGTTTTCAGAAATATTTAGGATATAAGTATCAGTGGTCATTATAAGAATGGATTTTTACTGCATGAATAAATGTATATATCTGGGTCCCTGGAGCAATACACTCTGCTCATTACTTTACAAACTTTATCAAATGAGAAGTAAATTAATCTACATAAACTGTTTCAGTTACTTCTATTTACTTTACACTTTTTCTGTTTCAGTTTTACCATGTGTAGGAAATGCATTTGGGTTTTGTGGTGGTGGTTGTTGTTGTTGTGTGAAATGGAGTTTCGCTCTTGCTGTCCAGGCTGGAGTGCAGTGGTGCTATCTCAGCTCACTGCAACCTCTGCCTCCCAGGTTCAAGAGATTCTCCTGCCTCAGCCTCCCAAGTTGCTGGAATTACAGGCATGTGCCATCATGCCCAGCTAATTTTGTGTTTTTAGTAGAGATGGGTTTCTCTGTGTTGGTCAGGCTGGTCTCAAACTCCCAACCTCAGGTTATCTGCCTGCCTCAGACTCTGAAAATGCTGGAATTACACCCACGAGCCACGGCGCCCAGCCACACTTGGGAATTTTCTTTTAAAAGTTCTGCTTCCTGGATTTACCAAACTCATGAGAAAATAGAAGCAAACAAGTCATTTGCATAGTTCAGAAACTTTGGATTTATAACTTGTCATCACTACTCTAGAAGACTATCATCATGTTTTGTAAAACAAAATGTTAATTCTAGACATAAGGGGAAAAAGAAATTAAAACTATAAGGGTGAAAATATATTGCATAATTTATTACTATTGACATGACCATATGACTGATTAAGAGCACTGAATTTCACTTGTATGTAAAGTAGACCCCATATTAGCCGCAGTTAGTCAATAGACTTGGTGTTCTAGCAGAATTAAATTGGATGCTCCTGTGTTATCTTTAAACGATACAGCTCTTCTGAACACCCATACTCCTAGTGCATGACTATCCATTAAGACAAGGTGAAGGAATGTGTGAGTACAGCTGAGGAGACACCATAAGGCAAAGGCTCAATGGTTCCCATTAATATTGAGAAAATCAACACTATAATACAGAAAGCTATAGGCATTATTTAATATTTGGTTTGGGAAGGTATTTTTAGTGACATTGCATACAGTTGTAACTAATAATTGCACAATTAGAGATGTAAAAATAAATCAAAGCCACATTGTCTTTGAGTAGGAAATCTGTAGACGTCTGCAGCAGCCCCCAATTTTTCCAATCCAGCCCCAAAATTCTAAATATAATCATGGTACCACTCTCAAATTTATGTTAATACTAACCTCAATGAAATTACTCTTTCTCCTTATTGTCTTTGTTATTTGTATGTTGCTTTCCTTAAAGGAAGAATACAAATGCCTTGCTAAGAAACATTCTGTTTGGGTGTAGCCTGCACAAGGGGAGGAAACACAAAGGACTTTTGGCCACAAAATGACTTCTGAAAAGTCAGAACTGTGGGAGCATGAAGCCAGCCAAGGGAATCGAGAATAACATGTTCTATGCTTCCTTCCCTTCTTTGTTCTCTTCCTACTCTAATAGCTGCGACTCACACAGGTAATGAAGAATATAATTCCCTGATAGTAACACAGCTCCAAGATTAATCCTTTCTTTAACTATGAAGTTCGTGTGTCCAAAGTCTGTAGTTGCTGTCTGATTTTTCATCACTGATGGTGATAGACATTTATCATCAACTCACAACTTCCCAAATCTTTGAAAAGTCTTACTATTGATGATTCAACTAGTAGAAACATAATCTAAAATATCTGAAAATTATGTTTTTATTTATTAGAATGTAAATAGTAATACAAATTGTAATAAAGTGTAAAGATTCTTTCTTCCCTGAAGCAGTACCATGTTGTCATTTACCCCACAAACACACTACTCCCTCATGGTCTAATGTATTTTACAAGTCCTGTAATTGCTATTAACTCAAACAAGTTTATTTAACTTGTTTTAAGCTTCTGTGATTTACTACAATTTACTTTGAATCACTCAACGATCTCTATTATATATGTTGTTTTCCATGAGGAATTTGTTTATTAATAATTAAGATTCTTCAGTGTTAAGAAAATATTTGAATAAATAAGTTTGAGAATAAACACATGATATTATTGTGTGTTTTTGTGTTCTAGAGACAAAAACTTCAAAAAAATTATAATGAATATACATTAAATTAAAAACTGCCTTCATTTAACCAAGATGATCTTCCCTCAATGCATGAATACCTTCAGAATTCACATGTGAAGCCTTAAATATAGACCAAAGATGTATATAAAATACAATAGCCTTAACAATCTTATCTGTAGCCAACACAGTGGATCCCGCCTATAATCCCAGCACATTGGAAAGCTGAGGTGGGCAGATCACCTGAGGTCAGGAGTTCGAGAGCAGCCTGGCCAACATGGAGAAACACCATCTCTGCTAAAATAGAAAAATTAGCAGGGTGTGGTAGCACGTGGATGTAATATCAGCTAATTGAGGGGCTGAGGCAGGAGAATTGCTTGAACCCAAGAGGCAGAGGTTGTAATGAGCCAACACTTAGCCACTGCACTCCAGCCTTGGTGATAGAGCAAGACTTTGTCTCAAAAACACCAACAGGACCGAATATTTCCATTATAAAAATAAGTCTATGTTCACACGAGATCTGAAGAGTACACAACGCTGAGAGATAGGACAGAAATATATTTTAAAAGTTATATTCCCGGTTTCTGTATATCAACAAAACTGTTGAATTTTAGCTTTTAAGGCAAGTCAAGGAAAAGAGCAAAAAATGCAGAAGTGAAACTTGAAAGGTCACTTGGCCATCAAGGGTTCATGATCACTGAACTTACACAAACTACATATATTTTTCAAAACATTATTTCTGAATTTTGATCTGAGCGTCCCTGGAGTTTCAGATTCATTCAAGGATGTCCACGAGGTCAAATAAGACAATGTCACTTGCTATTTTCAATTTTCTTTTCTGAGAACAGTGCAGCATTCTTCCTCAGAGAAATGAATTGTCCTAACTTCATAGGCTGAAGGCTCACGAGTCATAGTTCTAAGAGTATGTATAAAATATGGTGGTGCATGCTTGTATTCTGAACCTTTCAGCTTTAAACTTTCATATAGTAAATATTAATAGACACAAACTGATTTTAAAAAGCCCTTTTAATCTGACATTATTTCTATTTTTCTTTCTTTCTTCATTTATCAGCAACAGG